TCAAATAAAAATTCTTATTATTTTTCCGAAATTATCAAGCAATAAAAGTAATCAAAGTTTTAAGATTAACAAATCCATTTAACAGTAATCATCGGCTTTCATTTACCATCTTCAACTTCACACCGTTCACGTGCTTGGCCTGCCAATCAAAATCATTCTACACAGCGGAGGTGTGGAAATCTCGTTTCACCGAGAATGCCGAAGGCAGAGTCACGTAGTATTTCCAAGAAGTTTTAATATTTTTACATTTCATTTCTAGATCTTATTTTTGCATTCCTGCAGAAAAAAATATAAATAATGGAAATTTACACTTTTAAGGATTAAGTTCGAAATTGAATTTGAAACATATTCCCTGCCAATTTAAAATACTACATGTATATTTTGAAATACTATTGTTTAATGACTGTTTGACGTTCGTTTTAAGAATGATTTTTTTGTGTTACAATACACATTAAATATTACTTTAAAAATATTCTGGATATACTTACTAAGTATTCGATATCGGGAGATAAGGCACGGAGGGGCCCGGGGGGGGGGGGGCTCTTAATTATATTGAATGGCAAACATATATTTAGGTACGGTGAATGAAGGAATGTTCCCTCTTTAATATTAGACTTAACTTAGTGTACAAAAAGATCTAATGTATAACATTTTAAACAGTTGGACTTTTCTAAAATTTAAAATCAGTCTTATAAATTTCATTAGTTACAGTGTATAGAGATATTTAATTAACTGAATATCTACTGTACTGTTCATAATTCTCAGACCTATGTGTAGTTCTCATAAATGTTTTCGTACATTTTTTTTACACGCGTTAGAAATAATTTTTTGTGTATTCTTGTCTTACTTGGATTATTATCCATCCATTTATGATTTGTCGTCTTTTACATTACAACAAGATGATGCCGTGCGTGAAGCCTTTGTACATTGCCCTTTTTTATTTAATATTTTTGCATCGTTCCACATACATGTAGGTACTTAATGTATTTTTTCAGGGGAAATTTCACGGATAAAGTAACAGCTGAGTTATAATTATAGAAATATAAATATCGTAGATAATTTTTGGAATGAAATAATTATTCTTCAAACACGATATTTTAGTTATCTAATTAAAAAACGTGTAAATCCTTACCATCAAAAAGATAGGTCCTTTCACTTCGGAGTACCGAATGCCAATGAAGACTGAACGATAAGTGAACGTTAACGCAAAGTAAACGGAACGAAGAGCGAACGGTGAACGTGTTTTGTGAACGGTGAACTCGAGCGCACGGTGAACGGTGAACGCAAAACTGTGAACGGAGAGCGAACGGTGAACGCACGCTGAACGAACGGTGAAAGAACGATGAACGAACGGTGAGCGAACGGAAAAATGGGAAAGTAGAACGTTTCAGGGACTTTAGTATAGAAATGCAGAAAAAGAAAAATTACAGACATGTTAAATAATGGCACATTTCTACGAAAGCCGAGAAGGCTCATTCGAGATTCGAGTTTCGAGATTCAAGATCCAAACTAACCAATTAAAAGCGAGTTCAACATTTAATTACTCCTCTTTATAATGATTTTACTATCAAGAAATCGTTTAACATATTGATATCAAATGAGTCATTTGATTAAACTACAATGCAAGAAAGAGTGTTATATATATATTACAAAGAAATTTAAATAATCATTGGATTTTTGATCAGCAAGATAGACTTCAATTGATATTATGGCTTCTTAAATATTATAGAATACATATATCATATATCAGGAGTATATATATTTTGTATTGTCTACTTTGTTTAGGGGGTTGATTACATATAAATAAAGTTTTAAATAAGTTTCAAATGTCTAAAGATTAACAATAACTCCACTCCTACCCAACCCGTGTTTTTCCAAACACACTGAAAATGTTATTTTGTAAAACTTTAAGGCAACGTACAGTGTAGTATTGATAAACACAAAAATCGTGTTCGTGTTTCTGATAGATTGATTGATTGATTGTATATTGTTTAACGTCCCTCTTGAGAATTTTTCACTCATATGGAGACGTCACTGTATGCCGGTGAAAGGCTTCAAATTTTGACCTTTACTCGGCACTCAGGGCCATTGAGCAGTGAGGGATCTTTATCGTGCCAACGCCTGCCGCTGACACGGGGCCTCGGTTTTAAGGTCTCATCCGAAGGACCCGCAACTTTCACTTCAAAGTGCCGAGCGCATGGTGAAGGAACAGTTGCTACTAATTTTAACGACTAGGTCAGTCGCGGCCGTGATACGAACTCACGACCTCCCGATCACGGAGTGAGCGCTCTACCGACTGAGCTACCGTGAATGTTTTTTCGGATAGAGAAAATACATAGAAATTAAGTATTTAATTACTCATCTTCATCTAAGGCTTTGATGTCTTGAATTAATTAAAAATTATGTATACAATACAGTTGGTAAAATGAATTTAAATAAATGCGGCATTTATTTTATCTTATATCAAAACGTAGATTAGTCTAAATTAGATGCAGAATGCGTTATGGTTTATATTTTCGTCTCTGACCATATCGTTATGGCCGAAGACTAAACCTTATAATGCTACTGTTCTATTCAGCAGCCATGTCTCACTGCTCAGATGTACCCCTTTATAAACAGGCATTATCAAGCAGGGGGCCTCCCCCCACTTTTTTCACCAACCTTACTTAAACTATAGGAAAGCCCACTGAAAGGCTAGTTCTCCCCCCCCCCTCTTTTTGTTGGCCTTCACACCACCTCCCACCCCCGAAATAGGAATTTCGTCTCCCCCCACGAAATAGAATTTTTGTCTTTGGACAACTTTTCCTTTTTTATTGCTTGTCAACTTGTTCAGGTAAGTGAAAATAATATATGTGGCTGCCCCCCCCTCCCCCCATTCAAAATCGATTTATAATCAAATACAATATTCTCCCTCATCAATGATCTGATAAATAGTCGACCTACTTGTTCTGCAAGTCAATGATAAAACAATATAATATACCATACATACGTACATGTATTTACTATTTTGTTTATTGAGAAAAATTAGATTTTATATGTATTTTTAGATCACCTGAGTAAATTTAGGTGACATATTATTATCCGTTTTCGTCCGTCGTCGTGCGTTAACATAAGAAAATTTTCAGCTTCTTCTCTGCAACCCCTCAACCAATTTTCACCAAGTTATAGATAAATCATCTATGGATGAAGATGAACAAAAATTGTGAATTTCATAATCCCCGCCCCCCTGGAGCCTGAGGGTTAGTGCAATCTTTAAAAAATCTTCTTTTTTACTCCTGGACATCAAGCAGTCAAACTGTTTGCATGAATGTAATCAGCAATGAGTCCTCTACCAAAATTGTGAAATTCATGGCCCCAGGGTCAGGGGTTCTACATGTAGTGTTAGGGTGGAGCTCTATTGATTATATAGTGAAAATGCATTATTTTTTTTAAAAGTCATGCTTTTGTTTTATCCAATTATATAGCTATGATGAGCAAAAATGCTTCTTTGAAAATTGCGAGTTTTATGGCTGCAGGGTCAGGGGTTCAGGTGTAAGGGTGGGGCTATATTGATTATATAGTGAAAATACATTAATTCTTTGAAAATTCCCATTTTTCCTATCGTAATCGTGGTTATATGGGTACATGTTAGGCAACACATATTTTTTTATCACCCCTCGGACACAAACACATCCTCCCTCACACACCCTCTTACATGTACACACATACATGAACGCATATTTTCTAAAATAAATTTTAAAAAAAATATAGAGTAACTGTAAACGATAACTATGATGCACGTATTTTTTTACTTTCTGATTAAAATAAAATATTTTGTCTGGTTTAAGGATATAAAACACCATATTGAAGAGCTACGGAAAATTCTTCAACCATGTGAAGAAACAGACTGGAGAATAAAGATTCCCAACAGTTTGCAAAAAAGTCTTGGTCTTCAAGAAATCTTGACGCCTTTTGAAGAAACTTTTCAAGTACATTCAAATTTAAGTAAAGATCTTTTGAATGATGCTGGTGTTTGCTTGAAACATTTACAGGAATTCAGTTTTTCTTATAAAGACGTTTTAAATCACTGTTGTTTCGTACCTGCACTGTGTGGTGCATTGATCACCGGAAGAAAAAGGGATGTTTTACAGACACGAAAGCAACTGGTAGATGTAATTTCTAAAGTTGACATAAAATCTAGTGAAAGTAAACCATACACGAAATTGTTTGAATTCGCTACTTTGAAAGAACAATTGGAAGTTGAAGGAGATATTATCCCAAAAATGAATGAAAGAAGATATTCTGTAAAAACATCTCAAAAAGATCTTTTTCAAATTGAATCTGGCGATCAGAACATCAAAAGAGCTACTGTCTTTATTTTTTGTCCTGTATATCAATGGAAACCAAAAAGTTCAGAAATATGTTTAACAGGAAAAGCAGTCAAATGTTTGCAAAAGATAGAAAAGGTCGCTGCATCTGACAAATCAAGAGCAGAAAAAATTTGTTCAATTTTTTTACAGTCATTTGGCTCACATTTTCAGCTACAAACGATTCATTTGGGTGGCATTTTTGAGATAGAAATTTTATTCAAAGAAAGAAATACATGTAATTCAGCAGAAATTAGAAGGAAATTTATAGAGCATGTGCTTTTGACTAGGCATCTTTGCAAGCTTGAAAGTTCAGAAAGTGCATGTACATTGAGCAGAAATGAGTGTAAGGAATTCGAGCTCATATCTACCAACAGTTATCAATTAGGAGGCGCATTCCCGGTGGTTAATTTTCCTCTTTGGCACAAGACATTGTCAAAATGTATAAGATCATTGATTGTCGTAAATAAAAGATGTGAAAATGAAGAGGTTTTGGGGGTTTGGAGTTTGATCGAACAAAAAAGTGAACATTTCAAAAATGCTGAACAATTGTCAATTTTTGTTGCTGACGTTTGGATGAATCTTGTTACTCAAAATGATGAGCGCAATTTCTGTGATTCCATTGCGAAATGGAAAGAAAACTTTTTGAAAAAGATGGAGACGTTAGCGAAAAGAAACGATTCAGAAGAAGCGGTTCTTCGGATTCTTTTGCATCAACTAGGTGAAGGGGAGTCAAGATTTGGTTACAAACCTATTCAGAATGTTTTGTTGGAAGGTGTCAAAATTTTTGAAACCCTTTTAAGGAGGTTCATGGAAATGAAACCTAAATCTTCAAATGAAGAAAAACATCAGCTCTGGCATGGGCTACTAATCTTAAGAAAGAAGCTTGGCAACACTAGACATGATTTAGTCGGAGAAATATCGAAATGGTTGCAAAAATATTTATTGAATGATTTTGTTGTTTTGCCTTGTCCATTTCAAGACGTTGAAAGCGCGAGTTATACGATGGAAACAATATTTCTTCCTGCAGTAAAGAGCATTTTACAAGGATCAATATGTCAAAATGAAAACTTTTTTCAATTTTTAACAACGACTTTACAAACATCTGTTACTTGTGCACTTGACAAATTGCTGTCAGATGGAAAGAGTCTTCGGTATCTAGCTATGTTTTCAGACGCAGTGACCTTAGGATACAATATAAGTACAAAAGAAATCAAAAACACGCTGACAATAAACGTTATAAAAGAGTATTCCCGGCGATGTAAGAAAACTCTTATGTTCTTTGGGGCCATGAAATGCTGTTCTGCATCTGTTATTCAAGCATGGGCTTTAAAGAATATAATATTTCACCTTATTAATAAAGATTGTGCCATTGCTGGTTCCAATACTTCTCAAGAAGAGAAAGCAAAGTTGTTCAGCAGCATAATAAAAGTCATGCATGAAAGAGGACTTAAATTTGAGACAAATGTACAAAATATAGTTCAGTCTACCACCCTTAGTTTAGATAGCATGTTGAAAAAAATGGTTCAGGTTTCAGAGATTTCATTGTCATATTTCGAAGGAGACAAAGGGTTTGATAGATCTGCCCTCATTGAAGATTTTATACCGGAACACTCTTCTTCAGAGAAGCATAAACCATTATGGCAGATTTTAACCCAAATGGATATGACTGAATTTTACCCAGGGAAGCTGACTCTACAAGAAGTATTGAAAATGCATGAAAATCAATTTTCAGAACCAGACTCGTTCTCAGAGCTACCTTGGGTAATGCTCAGAAAAATTATTGCAATTAATTTTGATTTCAGGGAAAAAACTCTGCATGATTTGCTTCGAAAGCTTGAATCCCAATCGCAGCCAGAGAAGGAAGAACCTCCTGTTCGAAAACTCGTATCATCAAGAAAACCAAAAAAACAAACAAGAGAACAGTATCACCCAGCAGATATTTTTCTTGCAATATTTCAGTGCTTTGATTCATTTCTTAAAAGACTTGTAGTACAGAAAATGCAGGTTTGTCAAGTTGCCATTCCCTTAGTATATCAGGATTATGAACGAGAGCTTCTTAGACTTTCTTTATGGCCTATTAGGGAAATTTTTATTGACGGAGGTTCAGAGTCTGTGGCTACAAAACAATTGAGAACAGTTGCCTTTATAGGAATTGGTGATAACAGAAAAGGTTCAAAATCAAAACTGATCAACCAGTTTTTGAGAAGCCAAAATGATGAACACAGTACTTTTTTTCACAAGGACTGTTTACTTGGATTCCATAGAAGAGTTTTTGCTAGCGGAACAATCGAGGCAAGTTGGTATATTCCAAAGTCAAAAACGAGCACCGATGACACCGGAAGTAAATCGGAAAAAGAAAAAACTATTGAATGGCCTCTGACAGTACTAAATCTTAGAGGAAATGCATTCACCTACCCAAAACAACTACAATTTTTGCTAAATTTGGCTAGTGCGTTGGTAGTTATTATTGACTATGAAGATATAAAAAAGGAAACGTACTATCCAATCCTAAAGAAAATTCATGCATCAGAGGCTCATGTCATAATTGTAACAGATTTGCCACATGACGAGGATGAGACGGAACATTTTATTCAAATATACGAAGAAAACACGGAGCTTACCTTCGAAAAATGCTCTATTCTTTCAATTACCTCAGAGGGACGATATCTAAATGAAATAGAGGTAAAACAGTTTCTAATCAACGATGTATATGATGCACTTCAACATAGTACCTTTTCAATGTCCCTTGAAGAAATGAGTGAACAATTACCATCAGGCTTCTATAGTGATGAGGAACTACCAAAATCCCTTTTAGGAAAACAGCTGTGTGACCAAATTGTATCTCAAATAGAAGGTACACAACAGAATACAAGACTACAGAAACATGATATTCTACCACTTCAGGGTGAAGCTTTATGGCATGAATGGAGTAACGAGCAAAAAGAAGGGCGTCGGTCAGGAAAAAGGGAAAAGTTTAATGCTAACGACCCACACTTAGAGAGGATGCGAATATTAAGAGTGAAACAAGTGTGCGTTTTCAATCAAATAAATGACATAATGGCCCAGTTTGTCGATATTTTAGTAACGTGTATCTGTGATAAGGAAACAACATTGTTTTTCTTATCATGGTTGCGTCAATATATGGATAGTCGTTCCAGAATTATTTTGCCTAAAGTTTTGAACAGATTGAGAAGAGCTTTTTACGAATTTGAATCAATCAGATCACACAAAAGCTCAGAAAAAGAATCGAATAAAGAGATAAAAATGATAGAACTCAAGTCAAAAATTTCTGAAGAAGAGAGAAACTTGGCACATTCTTCTTTCGGATTAGAACATTTTTTTAGGGAAATGGGCCAAATTTATGAAGCTTTTATGTACTGTCAAGATGATGCGAGTTGTACAATCACCATGAAAAGTCGGGAGATTCTACAATCTTTACCTAAGATTGCCGCCAAACTGTTAGTTTGGGGACAACCACTTGAAGTCATGGATGGTGATGCCGCAAATGTTCCATTGAAATGGATCAATGCTGTTTATACTGAAGTTTCAAGGATAATTGGAAGAAATAAACGTCTCTTTGCTATTTCAGTTTTAGGTATCCAAAGTTCTGGAAAGTCGACCCTTCTCAATACAATGTTTGGACTTCAATTTGCCGTAAGTGCTGGAAGGTGCACAAGGGGAATTTATATACAACTCGTACCAATTGACAAAACAAAATCCTCCCTAAAGTTTGACTACGCAATGATTATTGACACGGAAGGTTTACGTGCACCTGAGCTGGCTGGAGAAAAGGTTAATCATGATAATGAACTTGCAACTCTAGTAATTGGCATGGGAGATGTTTCCATTATTAACATAAAAGGAGAAACCATTGCAGACATGGAAGACGTTCTCCAAATAGTTGTTCATGCGTTGATTAGGTTGAAACAAGCAAATGAAAAAATAACTTTAAAACAGTCTTGTATCTTTGTTCATCAGAATGTTTCAGCACAGGATGCAGACAAATTAACAATCCAAGGGAACCAAAAAATTGTCAATAATTTGGATAAAATGACAGTAGAAGTAGCTACTGAGGAACATGTGGCAAATATAAGATCATTTCAAGATGTAATCGGCTTCGACCCAATCAGGCATGTCAAATATATTCCTGATTTATGGCATGGTAGTCCACCGATGGCACCAGCTAGTTCACAATACAGCACAAGTGTTATCGAAGTAGCAAAATGCATTCTTATAGATTTGACAAGTGATGAATCTCACAATTACCTTTCTGTCGAAAACACAAAAGACCATTTGCAAAGCCTTTGGAATGGCATATTGTCCGAAAACTTTGTATTCAGCTTCCGAAATGTATTAGAAGTTAAAGCATACAGCTTATTAGAAAAAAAATTCCAAGAACTTACCTGGCAACTTGATGAGCTGAAATTAAAATGGTTGAATGACAGTGTTCGACCAAAGCTTAGAAAATGTATAAAATATGATGAACTCGATAGATATGAAAGAGAAATATATGAAGAGTTTTCAAGAACCATTAGTTCCAAAACAAAAGCGATTACAGAGGAATTGGAACTTTTTTTTAAAGAATCAGATTTAGCTGAGCATATGGTGCATTGGAAAGGTCGAAAAAATGCTGAACTTGAATCAACTTCCCGTGCAATAATAAGTGACATAAAACACAAATTAAATATCGAAAAAGAAAAATGCAAAACCTTAATGGACAGTAATAATTGCATACTAAAAAATAAGAAAGAAATTCAAGGAAAGGCTACAGATTTTGCAAAAACTTTGAAGGGAAGAAAGGAAACGCCTTCAGAGGAAGAAATATCCAAACAGTTTGATCAAGCTTGGAAACAATGGGTTGATGATATTGTTCGGGATAATCCAGAGAGAGATGTTGACCTTGATGTACAGGAGATGAGAAGTCATATTGTCAGTCTGCTCTACGATAGATTTAGAAAATATGACCAACTTGTAGAAGATGGCTTAAAAGCTCAGAATATTCAAAACTGGCGGGGATCAAATACACTTGCAAGAACAATGGCGATAAATGATATCAAATCAAACCATATAACAATTCCCAGCGCTTGGGCAAAGATCAAAAATGCTTTTTCGCTTGAAGACTACAAAGCAAAAGCCTATCACTATATCAGTTATTTTATATTCTCAAAAATTGATACATACATCAAAAGTCTACCGGTTGATAACGAATACGACACTACAATTTTCAGCCAGATCCTTAAGTATTGCATTGATGCATTTCAGGATCATTTTAGGGATTCTGCAAATCATGGATATACAATTACGCACAAACTAGAAATTACAGTCGTTCTCCATGTTGCGAGATTTTCAGTATATCACTTTACTAAGATGATTCGAGCCTTTAAGTTAAAGAACAGTATCCACTCAAGAATAGAGAGTAGCCGGCAGGAAACAGAGGCTCTTTTTATTGGTATCTGCACTGCAAAAGCAAATGAAGTTATAGTGTCCAATGTTTTCTGTTTGGAGATGAAGCCCTTAGTACACGAAAAAATTGAGTGGGAACTATCCCTTCACATTTCAAGGGAAATAAATCATCTTTTTGAGTTCAGAAAATATCCTTTGATCAAGGCTATCTTAAAAGATTTAGCAGAAGATGATGATTTTGACAAGTTTATGCAGTACGTTACCTGCTGTGAATCGTATGCAAGAAACTGGATTTCTGAATTTACAAAGAATCACTTTAGTAAACAGGTTGAAAATGGAATTACACCTTTCAAACGCTATGCGATTGAAGTGTTGGAAAAAATAATGAGTGATATAAAAATATCTGTTCGTATGGCGTCCTGTGAACCCCAGCCACCGACGTCGGTTGCAGAATGGATAAAGAAATTTCTCGTCAATGTAAAAGATCAAAGTTTTCATTTTTCGGCAGAACCCTTTCAATCTATCAAAGATCTAGGCATAAGCAACTTTGATGATTTATCGTCATTAATCAAAGAGCAAATTGACGAAGTTAAACGCGAGCTGACTACAGATTATGAAAAAAGAGATATCAAATCAGTATCTTGGAAAGATCCGTCTCCATATCAGGTCATAATTGATAAGTTGTGGGGCTGTCCACAAACATGTCCTTGGTGCAAGGAACCCTGCTCAACTGCGTCCAGGGACGACAATCATGACCATAGCTGTATACAACATCGTCCACAAGGGGTCAATGGTTATCATTGGATATATAACAGAGAGCTTGTATTAGAAACTTGCAATTTTCTCATAAACAGTGAAAGGAAAACACAATGTAGCAACTGGTGTACCTGTTCTAAAAAAGATCCGGGAGTATTTCACCCATACAAGAGCTACAAGACATATATGCCAGGTTGGGAAATAACTCCTTCCACAGAGATATCAAAATATTGGTCTTGGTTCATCGGAAAATATGGAAAAACCCTAGCTGGGCACCACAAGTTAATTCTTCCAGAAGTCTCTGATGAATGGGTTAAGATGAAAAAAGAAAACGCAATTTTGAGTCTCAGTGAGTTTGACCAGTGAAGAATTCTGCTTACCAAGAATTTTGAATTAGGAACTAAGAATTTTTAAAACAGTGAAAATAGAATAGTAACTTTAAAATATCAAATAAAAATAATAATAAAAAAGCAGCCAGCCTCAAGTACTTTTTTGCTTTAGGTAAACCAATATCAGAGTGTTTAAGAAAATATTAAGAAGTTATCAATTTTCTACAATGTTAAAAATTCTACATTTTTTGCCACATGCATCATTCTTATCAATTTTTTGAAACTTAAAATCCAATCAATTTAAAACTTAAAATAAAAATAATGAATATATAAATATTTGGTTAAACTTTTTCCTTCTTCCACCAAATTATTTTTTTTTTTTTACATTTTTTTTCTCAAGTATGTTGATAAAACTGTCTTTGTTATCATCTGTCTTTAAAAAAATCATATAATTGTTCTTTTAAAAAATGAAATCCACTGTATATTTTTCTGATGCTAATCATTACTTTGATTTGTTTTTCATACATGCGATATAAAATAATTCTGTTACATAATATGTAAATAGAGTTTTGCTTTACATCGTTTTTATTATTTTCAATGAAATAGATACATGGATTTTCAAATATAAAAATAATTTCTTAAAGGTACTTAGACATAGATTTAGTGAACATTTTCTCAATTTTTCTGTGTAAAATTACGGTTTATTTAATGGAATTCACAATATATATATATAGCATTTCACTCGAAAAAAATAATTCATTAATTTTTTTTTAAGTTATTGAAATTCTGGGCCGGTTTGATTGATACATCCTTGCACTTTCACAAATAATAATATTATTTTAAATACTAAAACTAAATAATTATTTTATTCTAAATACTTTAAAAAGTGGCAATTTTGTTGTGTATTGATGAAAAAGATTAAAACTATGATACAGAAAATTTAGAGTAGATACCGGCATATTCCACTAAAGTTTAAATATCTTCGGGATGAATTAGATTGTGAAATATTTTCTTGTGAAATGCAATTGCAATATTTTATAGGTCGTAATATTAAATAAAAAAAATCGACAAAATATTAACATCAAATCTGTATTTATGCACCTTTAAGGAATCTGTAATAACTTATTTTTATTAAGAAATTGCTTACAATTCTTAGAATGTGTGTAACCAATAATTATGTAGCTTCTTTTTATTCAAAAAACGAAGTTAACAAGTCTTTTCAATAATTTTATGTACTTGCTTAAGTGTTTCAGAATAAAACAGTTTTCTATGTATAAATTCGAATTTAAAGGTCCCAACTGAGCTTCCGAGGAGTCCCTATCGTCTGTCTTGTATGTGTAAACATTCCACATTTTCGACTAAATTAAATATCTTCTGCTTAAAATATAACAAAGCATATTTTACATATTATAGGATATTCCGTGTGAGAAAGATTAAAATTTCAATTACTTTCTTAGAAAAATAATCAAGACAGTGAGAACATTTACTTTAGTCCTAAGGCGTAGACAGATAAAACAATCGTGAATGCAAAAAATTCATGAATAATCGTGTTACGAGTAATAAACCACTAATGCAAGCGTAGGGTGAGGCAGCAAAATGATATGAAAGATAAACTGAGAGATATAAAATATTTATATATTTATTTTCTCAAACAGAGCGAAGTCATTATTAGAAATACTATTATGAAAGTTTTAACTAAGTATAGAAATAGGTTAGGTCGAACTACGGCACTGGGTAGGTGGGGTCACAATAAGCGATTTTAGTTGGGAATATTTAATAAAAACAGAACAGAAGTGCCACATTTTAACTTATTACTCTCCAAGCAGTGTACATGTACTCATAGAAGACAAAAAATTGTTTTCAGAAATAGGAATGTCATTTAAAATTATAAAAACATTTAAGCACTAAGTTGAGGCAAAGACAATTTAAGTTGGTTTAATTTAAATTGATTGTGGTTCCTTGGAGTAAGGCGGGAATTTCATAGGGTACGTATATAGACTTTCAATGGGAATGTTTAAGGAAATCGGGACTACATTAGTAATGGAAATTATATTAATGCCTAAGCGTCCGATAAATTTGCGTTTAACTTTAAATTTGGTCAAAACTTTGGTCCCGACGGATATGGATACAATCTTATTTATTATTCTGAAATTCATTTTTGATAAGTGAAGTAATGTACGATATATAATACCACACTATTTTATTTTATACGTTTTCCTAGGTGGAGTTTTTTAGTTTTAAATTAACTGTTTAGCTAAACTTTTCGCTTAAATCATTGAATTCTGGATCTTTTTCTTTTCATATGCATGTGTACATGATAATAAATTTTATTTCAATTGCAAATGTGATTTATAATAATTGTGTAGCATTCAAAGGATTATCAATTAAGGAACTGTTATATCATATCATTTTTAGAGCAAGGGAAGGGATAAAATGTTTCTTGTATATGAAATGGGAATTGTTACTTCATTTTCTTTATAAACAACTAGATAAGTATACTTTGATAAACATGGTATTTTGAAGTAAAATAAAATCTGAAATTGGCATTATTCGAAAGTCCTGTAAATTGATTTGGTTGAGTAACTTTTTTTTCCTCTCGCAATATTATCCATTTTTTGCGAGTCATTCATTCGAATTTTATGTATACATAATCTGCATTTAACAAACATTTCAACATGTTTACTAGTATAAATACATGTATTATATTATATTTCATTTGTCAAGTACTGATGTTAAGAATTTTCAATGTCAAAACACAAACAAGTGCAAATAAGATATAGCTGATCCTGCCTTGTGTGACCTTAACGATCCGATATCTTATCGATAGGTCCAATATCTCACTGATCGGTCAAACATCGATTTTTTATGCCCATTTAACTAAATATTGGAATAGTTATACTTTTTTAAAAAGATTTAAATAAAATCAGATTTTTAATATTTTTAAAGGTACAGTGGTTGGAACGTTATTGTTGACAAACCAATCGTGTAGAAACGTTCGTGTATCGTGAGTGATCGTTAGTTTAACGTGAAAGATCGTTCGTGTATCAGACTCAATCGTGTGCGTTTTTAATCGTGCGAGATCGTGCGTTTAGAATCGTGTAAATTTCGTTTTGTTAGTTTTTATTGGAATGTTATTTCTAAAATAAGCATTTTCCTTGTTTGGTTTTCTTAATTTATTAATTAAAATCAAAATAAAATGAAAAAGTGCAGTTTACATAATAGAATGCAGAACGAACTAATTATTGCTCGTAAACAAGCAATATAGTAAGTCGTACAATATTAAGTTCTCGTCAAAAAGCGCGACCAATTCTGTGATAAACCGTACTTAGATTTCTTACGCCTTTCTGAAAAATCTGATTTAATAATTATTTACCTCTGATTGTGGTCAAGATAATCTTGAAATCAATTCACTGAAAATAATATTTTTTTTTACAAAGAAATAAACATTTCTCAATGCTTACATAGCTAGTTAATCGACAAATCTACATGCACACGGCATGATTTTCGGGAGTTTTGGTTATCTGTGTTTATCTTTTGAGCTTATTTGTAACGAATTAATTTTTAATTTCTGCAAATAAAAAAGTTGAATAATTCGCAAGTTTACTAGTATCAGACATTGAATAAGTGGAAACGTAAAGATAGAATTTGTAATTATAATCTAAATCATTCAATGCTGGCATTTGTGTTGAATCGTATCCCCCTTTCTGCATTGCTTGATAGCCAATTCAATCAAATTATACGACCCTCATACATGAACATCGTCTAATAGAACGAATAAAATCCGTTTTCTTTGATCGGAGAATTACCTTAGAAATAATTATTTTTAATCTGAAATATTAAGTCTTGCATATATTTAGTTACAGGAATTCATTTTCCCGTTTTTTTTTAAAGTCTATGAAATAATATTGATAATTCTTTGAAATCTTAAATAAGTATTTAGCTTTATTTCGTTTTGAAAATATTAATTCCTAAATATTTTGAACTATTTTGAGTGAAGAAACGTGCGTTTGCGTTAACAATCGTGTAAGATCGTGTAACGTGTAGAATCGTGAACGTGAAAGATCGTTCGTGTAACAGGTTTAATCGTGCGTTAATCGTGCGGAATCGTTCGTGTAACGTGATCGTTCGTGTAAGTTGTCAACAATAACGTTCCAGCCACTGTATCATAAAAAAAAATTGTTTTAATCATACAGAACGTTTTTAATTACAAATCTGAATTATTTATAGTATACTTTTTAAAAAGTATGTAAAATTTGCTATAAGTATTTACATTTACTAATCTTTTACACATAATTCTTATTTTGTTTGTTTTTTCTGTTTTAGGGATAAGGGATATTCAAAAACATTTAAAATAGTTGTAAAACAGCACGGAATTTATTCATGTTTAAAACACGTTTATCATTAAATTCCTTATACGATATATGCTTCTTAATTTTTATATTTTATCTTTGTAAAATAGTACTAAATTCAAAAAATATATCAATTTTTCAACAACAACAAAATTAGTTGAGCTCAATAAATTTTACTATAAATATACTTTATTTTGCACGGAAGCGTATTAGTGCCACTTGGACACTTTATCTTTTTATTTGAACACTTTAATCTGTAAATTTTATTCTACTGTTCCTTAATTTTGGTCATAAAAATTAATATAAAGACATAGCACAAGAGCTTTTGTTAGATAAACATACCTTTTGATTATCCTATGATGTTATATTTTGAAAACTTGTCTATAAATCACAGATACATTGTATATATTCGGATTTTGAATGATTTTATACCTGCTAATAAATGATTTGTAATATGCAAAAAATGGACCTTACAGGTACATACTAATGTTTTTTACACTCTTTTTCTTTTACGTTGCTCAATCTTAAAAAAACGTTGTAAATCAAATATACAAAACCTTTTGTTTATTTAAAGAAGCTTATAAAAATGATGCAACAAAAGGATAAGAGGAGCTTTTTGGAAATTACTGTTACATGTATTTTTTCCGGTTTAATTAGAACTAGTTCTTTTTGAATTACACACAGTAGT